CACTTCTGAGAATTCTTGGTTTCCATCTGTTCCTTAGTTTCCTCCTTAAGAGATGCGTCATTTGTTTGCCTCATGTTCCTTGTATCCTCCTTCCTCGCATCCCCCCTCCCAACCTCTCGCATCCTCCCTCATCGCCCTCTCATCTCAGCTTCTCACCTCCTCACCTCCTCACATCCTCATTTCGGCACCTCTCCTCCCCGTCCGCTGACTTAGACCGCATGTGTACATACGTCCTTACCTTGGCACATGTATCCACGTCCTTGCTTTGGTATATGTATCGCCCACCCATCCCACTCTAACCCCGAATTCCCTTCTCATCCCCTCTACCCCCCCGCCCCCCCCCACCCCTCCCGCCTTTCCCTTTCCTCTCCTCTCTTTTTGCCTCTGTCTCTCTCTATATCTACTCTTCTTCACTAGATTTGAGGTGGAGGATGTGCCTTTGTACGATACAAGCTCAGAGGATAGTGAGTATGATGATGATGAGGAGGAGGAAGAGGGGGAAGAAGAAGAAGGGGAGGAGGAGGAAGGTGAGGAGGAAGTGCGGGTGGGTGGTAGGGAGACAAGAGAAGGGGCAGAAGAGGCTGGGAAAGAGGGGAAGGCGGAGGGGAAAGGGGAGAGGCAAGCGGAGTTGGTGGAAAGGAAGGGGGTAGGTCGGAGAGTGGGGAAGGGTGGGAGTAAGGATGTGAGTGGGGCTGGGGAAGGGGACGTGAAAGTGGGAGGGGAGCAGGAGGAGCAGGAGGCGGAAGAAGAGGAGGAGGAGGTATGGGTTTCGCGAGGAGAAGGAGAGGGGTATGGAGCAGAGGAGTGGCAGGAGTGGATGGAGAACGATTCTGAGGGGTGGGAGGAGGAGGAACAGGAGGAGGAGGGGGGTTCGGTTGCTGACTTGACACAAGATGGGGATGACGAGGAGGTAGGAGAAGGTGCAGGGATGTCTGATGGAGGGGGGTATGAGGGGCAGGAGGGGGAAGGAGCAGAGAGGATGCAGGAGGGAGAGGAGGGAGGGGAGGGAGGGGAGGGAGGTGGGATAAAGGCGAGGGGGCTGAAGAGAAAGGCAAGGAAACCACGGGTGAAGAGATCTGGTCTTCCCAAAGGTGTGTTTAGCCCTCTGATTGATGTGGATGGGGGTGGGGAAGGAGAGCAAGGAGGCGAATGGGAAGGAGCGGGAGAGGGGGGGAGGGATTTGGGGGAGGGGGATGAGCGGTGGATGAGAGCAGGTGGGGATGGTTCTGGTCGTTGCGGGTGGGTGGTGGGACGGTATTTCCACGGCTCTCAGTGCGCGGGATGTAGGAAGGCGATGCGGAGGGTGATGGCACAGGAAGGAAAGGGTACTGATGGTGGTGATGTTGATGTTGGTGGTATAGGAGAGGGGCCGAAGCGGAGGAGGAGGAGGCGGAGGAGGGAGATGGAAGAGGGAGGAGTGGGGGTAGGGGATGGAGAAGGAGAAGGAGGAGAGGAAGGAGAGGAGGGTGAGGAGGGAGAAGAGGAGAGAGAGGCTAGAGAGGCAATGAGGAGACGGAGGAAGAAGAAGAAAGCAAGAGAGGATCAGAGTGCAGAGTATTACCCTGATGTGGTCTCCTGTTTACCAGACGATCTAGCTGCTAGTGCTGCTGATGCTGATGGTGACGCTGCAACCGCCGCTGCCGTTGCCGCTGCAGCTGCCGCTGCGGCTCGTGCGTGGCGAAACGCACAAGCTGCAAAGAAGGAGAAGCAGCTAAGGAGGAAGGCGGCGGCTCAAGAGGAAGCGGGAGCCGGGTGGGGGAGGGGAAGGGGAAGGGGGAGAGGCAGAGGGAGAGAGGGAGAAGGGGGAGGGGGAGGGGAGGGAGGACGGCTTTCCGGCGGCGCTTTTGGGAGGGGGGTGGGGCTACGAGGAAGAGGCATGGCGGGTAGAAGAGGCGCCATATCAGGGAATGGTGGTGTGGGACGGAGCAAACCATCACCATCTGGCCTCTATCACCCTGAATCCTCCCGACCGATCCCTCTTTCCTTCGTCCGCCCACCTCCTCTTGCCGCAGCGGCTGCTGGTTCTGCCAACGCTGCAGCCAACAAGCCAAAGCTGAAGCCTCGACCCGCCCCTGCATGCCCGCCTCTCTCCCCTCGCTCCCGCTCCTGCGCCCTCATCCCTCCCTCTGCCTGCAGCCCCTGCCTAGCCCCCTACCTCCCTCCCCCCAGCGTGCTCCTTCTCAGGGAAGCGACCAATCATGCCGCTCGGTCCCGGGCAGGCCAGATGATACCAGATTTGCTGACCCTGGATTTTGGGGAGGGGGGCGGTGCAGGGGTGGGGAGGAGTGCGGGTGGGGAGGGTAGTGCGGATGGGTTCGGTGGGGTGCTTGGGTTTGGGGTGCGGCGGAGGAGGGCTGGGAGGGGAGTGTACTTACGGCCTATTGAGAAGTCGTTGAAGCAGGAGGATGTGGAGATGTTGTTTGGGAGGGGCAAGGAGGGGAGCGAGGGGGTGGAGGAGGAAGAGAAGAAGAAGGATCAAGTGCTCGAACTACTGGTGAGCTTCTGACATGCCCTGATTGTTTCTTTCCTGAGGTGTACATGTATATCTACGTACGTATGTATATGTACATATACATGTATATATATTTATATATAAATCCTGTCATTCTTGCAAGCGCTCCTCGCACATGCCTCATCACATCTGTTTCCTTGCCTCTATGCCTTCCCTCGTTCCTCGCTGCCTCGTCTTGTCCCCCCACAGGAATCAGCCCAGGAGAAAGAATTAGACTTCTTTGCACTCAAACCCCAGGCTTCCCAGCTATCGTCAGCAGCAGCCCCGTCTGTAGCGTCTTCGCGTGCCATCAACGAGCGGCTGATAGCAGCGCACTGCAGCAGGCTGCTCAGTTCGTTCAAGCTCAGCGCCAGTGTCCTCTCATTTGCCGCGAGTGCTGCCGCTCTTCCTGCCCCTGCTCCTGCCAGAGCTGCTTCTCCTGCTGCTGCTGCTGCCGATGCTGTTGGCGTGGATGGTGCTTATGGTGGTGGTGGTGCTAGTGCTGCTACTACCGCCGCTGCTGCTACTTCTGCTGCTCCTCCTGCTGCTGCTGTTGCTGCTGCCATTGTTTCTCGCGGTTGAAGGAGCTGGATGAATCAGACTGAAAGCAGGTTGCAGTGTTACAACTTACATGGGGTAAGGATGTACCGTCCGTAAGCCCTGGCAATGGCAACGATGCTGCCGATGGCAAAGCAGTGCTTGCATAGTGTGAGTAACGTAACGCAATTCTCTTAGAACTGCATGATCCTCAGAGTACCGGTAGAAGCATTTCACACATCAAGTAGCATTATTTTTGGCCACAAAACAATTGGCTGCACTGTCAAAGACCCTGAGCTTACGCTATAATTAATAACTTCATTACCGGTAGCATGTATCCTTCACAATGTACATCCAGGCACCAGACCCAACTGTTTCGCAACAAAGCACAAGAAAACCACACCGCAAGCAGAAAAAAACCCAATAAAACAAAACCACACAGACAACAGAGTTATCATTTCATCTCACACGAGTGGCACTGTGGCAATCTGTGAACATGCGACAGCTGGGACTGTCTTTTGAGACGTCCCAGAAGTCGTTTTGAGACATTCCAGAAGCAATGTGGCGGCTCATGTGTGGATGCTCGGTGAAGTTACGCCCTCCTTGTGAACATGTGACAGAAACGCATGCCACTGCTGCTGCGGCGGCTGCGGCTGCCACTGCTCCTGCTCCTGCCCCTTCTGCTGCTCCTGCTGCTGCTGCTGCTGCTGTGACCACTGATACTGCATCTGCTGCTGCAGCAACTCCTGCTCCGCCACATGCGCCGGCGGCAAACGGCATTGCCTGTCCACGGAAATGACAGGCGGAAGCAAGTGCTCGCCCACACCGCCCAGATCAGGCGGGGAGTAAGGCATCCCTGCGTACACATGACTCGCCGCACCAGGCTGGACCTGGACGCCCATGGGGGGGTGAACGTGAATGCCGTTGTCCACCGGTAAACTTGCACTACGTGCCATGTGCAGCGACTCTGGCTGCTGCTGCTGCTGCTGCTGCTGCTGCTGGTGCTGGTGGTGCAGCAGGAGCTGCTGCTGCTGGCGCTGTTGCTGCTCCGTGTAGCGGTGGCTGCGGTGGTGAGAGAGAGGCATGCGGCCTGCAGCAGCCCTCTCTGCCTGCATGTTCGCCTGCATTGCACGGGTCATCAACACAAGTCCAAACAGATAAGTGGAAACAGGAACATCAGCCGAATAAAACCACAAAACAAGCACCCATTACGGAATGAGTAACTCGGGCGGCCCTTGTCCAGACGCCATACGTCACGGCCTACCTACCGAGTGCCTGCCTTCCAACACTGATCACCCGTATCCTGTTCTTGAGCTGACCCAAGAAATATTCTTTCAACATCTACCACGCCCTATCACTCCGTGTACCATCCCCCATCTCCATCCCATCTCCATCCCATCTCCATCCCATCTCCATCCCATCCCATCCCATCCCATCCCATCCCATCCCATCCCATCCCATCCCATCCCATCCCATCCCATCCCATCCCATCCCATCCCATCCCATCCCATCCCATCCCATCCCATCCCATCCCATCCCATCCCATCCCAGCTCGCTCCCACCCAGCCTCACCTGCTGCCGGAGGTATCGCTCTCTTCGCAGCAGCTCCCTGGCGTCTTGCAGCAGCAGCTGCAGCGACTGCACCTGGAACAGCAGCGCCTGCTTCTCCCACTGCCACGAGCCGGGCTGCAGAGGAGAAACGAGTAAGGGAGACAAAGGGGAGGGAGGAGGGGAGGAGGAGACACAGGGAGGGGAGGAGGGGAGTGGAAGGAAGGAGACAAAGGGAGAGGAGGAGGGGAGGAGAAAGGGGAGGACATGGACAGAGTAGAGTGAGAGATGAGTGGGGGGAGCAGGATTGGGAGGGAGAGGGAAATGGAGAAGTCAGTGTGAGGGGATGAACACAAGACAACCAACCAGTGCCTGCCACAGTGCCGATATGTAGACATTGTGACTCGACTCTCAGGAATTCACGTCAAAACGGCTCAAGAGTGCTGTGCTGTACAGTACACGCAGCACAGACGCACCAGCCCTGCAATCAGCCAACCAGCCAGCAGCACAGAGACACAGGCGATCAACACAACACAACACAACACAACACAACACAACGATGCTTACAGCAGGCTGTGCATCTCCTCCTGCTTGCTTGCTGCACGGGTCCTTCCCATCCCCCACTCCTTCAGCACAGCTACTGATGCCGTTCCCGTCTCCGTTCCCTTTCCCACATGGTGGCTCTGCACGCATGGAGAGATGGTGCATAGGGGAGAGTCCTTGGGAGAGTCCCTGGGAGAGTCCCTGCATCTGCATCTGTGTCTGCGTCTGCATCTGCATAGGTGGGGAGTGGGAGTGAGCTGCAGCTGTCTCTCCCGAGATACTCAGCTGCATCTGCAATCGCTCCATCGCCTGCTGCATAGCGAATCCCTCCTCCGTCCTCTCCCTCACCACCGCTCTCAACCTCCCCACCTCCCCTTCCAACTCCTCCACCCTCCCACCCCTCCCCTGCAACCTATCCTCCCACTGCCGCAACCTCCCCTCCTCCTCGCTCACTCGCTCCTCCCTCTGCCGCACACTCCCTTCTCGCTCCACCACCTTACACTCCCACACTCTCGCCTCCTCCTCCCTCTCCTCCACCATTCTCTCCCACTCACACACCCTCTCCTCTCTCGCCCGCACAGCACTCTCCTTCTCCTCTAACTGAAACCTCAACTCCTCCTCCTCCCTCCTCCTCTCCTCCTCTCTCTTCTCTTCCTTATCCTCCAGCATACAAATCGCCATTCCAAGGTCTCTAATCTTCTCATCTTTCTCCTTTAACTCCTCTTCCACCTCCCTCATAGCCTGCTTGTGCCTTGCAGCCAACCGCAGCATATCCCACCGAACCCCTGCCACTGACTTCCTTACTTCACCTGTCTCCCCATCCCTCCCCTGTTCCTGCTCTTCCTGTTGCTCCTCGCCCTCACCCTGCCCGTGCTCTTTCTTCTGCGGTTTCTCTCCCACCCTCCCCCTAGACTGCTCCTTGACTTCGTTTGACCCCGTTGACTCTGTCAACTCCCCTGACTGATCCACAGACCGGACTCCAGACTCCGCTGACGTGGCATCCGCGCTGCTCAATGCTGAGTCAGCGTCGGAGGAATCACAGTCATCTGTGACGGTGGACAGGTCGGAATTTTCTGACAGGCCCCTCTGCTGTTTCTGGAAGGAAAAGGGGAGTAGGGGCGGGGAGGGTGTTGTGGGTCAGATCAGGAGCATGGGTGTGGAAGGTTGTGAAAAGGTGTGAAACCTTGTGAGGAGGGTAGGGTGCCAAGCAGTGCAATAAGGGTATGAAGAAGGTGCGTCAAAGCGTGTGAAACGGTGTCAAAGGCCTATAGGGGCGGATATGGGCACATACTATTGTGATATCATACCAAGGGGCGGATATAGGCACATACAACGAGCACCTAACACCACCTTCCGGGCCGGCCAAACCATGAGCCCACCCAGATACTAAGCAATCAACCTTTCCCACCCGCCCTAAGATCAATCCACTGCATACACAAGAGACCCACCAAAGATCAACCTGTACCACCCACACACCCACCCACAAGAGACCCACCAAAGCCACGTACATAACAGAACGCAGCGTGCAGCTGTCCAAACTTCCCTTCCAGCTCCACCTTCTCCGCCCTCAGCACCCGCATCTGCCGCTGCATGGCCGCCCTCTCTTTACCTCCCATCTCGTTTTTCGACTCGATTCAAAGAGAGAGACATACCCACCCACCCAGTCACCCACGTACCTCACACCACGCTGCGTGCAGCTGTCCAAACTTCCCTTCCAGCTCCACCTTCTCCGCCCTCAGCGCCCTCATCTGTCTCTGCATGGCCGCCCTCTCCCCCTCCCACCGCGCCCGCTCCTCCCTCCACCTCCCCTTCTCCTCCCGCCGCTCCGCCTCTCTGCCCTCCCACGCCGCCTTCTCCCTCCGATGGCTCGACCTTTCCATTTCCAGCTCGTCCAATCGCTGCCGATTGCTGCGGCTCTCAGCCATAAGCCGTGCTATCTCTGCAGTCAGCCTCTTGTTCTCTCGCACTGCCTGCTCTGCACGCTCCTCTGCCTTCTCCAACCGCTGCTTCACCTTCTCCCGATCCTCCGCTGCTTCTGCTGCCACCGCTGCAGCCGCTGTCACCTCTGCTGCTGCTGCTGCCCCTCTCGGAGGAGACCCAGGGAACAATGAGTTCCCCGACGCCTCCACCTGAGAATTCACCTGAGAATTCACCTGAGAATTCACCTGAGATTCTACATGGGAAACCGCCATGGCCTTGATAGCGTCCTCCCTGACCTTCACGTCTTCCGCCAGCTGTGCGGCTCGCTCCCGGGCGGCATAGAGCATCTCGTTGCGCTCGGCTAGCTTCTTGGCGAGAGATTCTACTGCCTCGCGGTGGGACAGGAGCAGCTTCTCTCGCTCTGCCACTGCCCGTTCTGCTGCTGCCAGCTTCGCTTCTAGCGCTGCTATAGCCTCGTCGTCGCTGGTCGTCGTAGTACCAGTGCTGCTGGCGCTGCTGCTGCTGGTGGTGGTGATGTTGCTGTTGCTGTTGCCGTTGTTGTTGGTACCACTTGCCCCAACTCCTGTTGCTGCTCCTCGCGATTGTGAGTCGGCAACAGCAGCAGCTGTAGTTGCTTCCCCTAATGCAGGTGCTGATGTCGATGCTTCGACTTCCGCAGCTGCAGTTGCTGCTGCTGCTGCTGCTGCTGCTGCTGCCGCTGCTGGTGCTGCTGCTGGTATGGTCGCTGATACCGGCTCTTGCCCCTTTTCCTGCTGCTGCTGCTGCACGGGCATCACCTTGGCCTGCTGGTACAAGGACATTATACTCATGCGCTTTCTGCCCCCCCCTCCTCCTCCTCGTCTCCCCACACTCATCGCGCCTATCGAGCCCTGCTCCATACTCTGTGTACCTTGTGTGGGTGCGCAGGGAGCAGCAGCAGCACCAGCAGGGACGGTCGTAGCAGCGGAATAAGCAGCAGCAGCAGCAGCAGCAGCAGCAGCAGCAGCAGCAGCAGCAGCAGCAGCAGCAGCAGCGTCGCTGGTAGAGCGCCGTATCCATGCACCCTCGTCGTGACCCGTTGCTTCCAATGCCGCCCTGACAGCATTCGATTCGACTGGGCTTCCGGCACTGGCGCTGCGAGCGAGAGTGAGAGGACCCGGAGGGGGAAGCGGCGGAAGAGGCGCAAGAGGAGGAGCAGGAGGAGGAGGAGGAGGAGGCGCTTCGGGGAAAGTCACGGGAAGTTGAAGCCTCCCTAGGGTTCCGGCTGCTGTAGGTGCTGCATCGTCCATCTGCATTTATGGGTGGATGAATGGATAGCAGGGGGGTGTAGAGGACGGAAGGGAGGCAGGGAGAAAACCCGCTTGAATGACGAGAGGAAAGGGAGAGGTACGGGAGGAGAGATGGTAGCGAGAGGGGAAGGGAGAGAGAGGGGAGGAAAGAGAGAAGCAAAGGAACGCGCAGGATGGATGGACGGAAGCTGGAAAGACAGTTTTGAGACGTGACTTTTGAGTCGACTCAATAATCAAATGGCGATTCGAAGGAAGGAGCGTGAGTGCTGACCTCTTCGATTGTGGCGAAGGCATCAAAGTGAAAGAGTCGGAGGGGAACCAGAAGGGCTTGCGGGGGAAGGCTGGGCATGTCACTGGCATGGGCAAGGACGCATTGGGCGTGAGAAGGAGGAGGGGGTTTGGAGGGGGAGGGGAGGATGGGGGAAAGGAGAGAATGAGGGGGAGGAGAGGGAGTGAGTACAACAGGAGAGGAAACAGAAAAAGGGGGCGTATAAAATATATCCGAAAACTCATGAAGCGCGCACCCGCACCCGCACCTGCACCCGCACCCGCACCGCACCCGCACCCGCACCGCACGCGCATTCGCACACGCATGATTGCACAGGCAGAGCCCCTGTGGCTGACCTCCTTTCTCCACGTATGCATTGGGCGGAAGCAGGATCGTGCAACCCCTCTCAACCGCATACTCCTTTGATCTCCCTGGAGTGATCTGAAGCAAGAACGGGGTGGGGGAAAGGAGGACAGACAGGGGGAAATGGAAGAGTGTTTTGATGATAATGTTTGAAGGGAGTCAAGTCAGGGCCAGAGACGGAGAGCGCGCTCGCCCTGACCTGACTCCCCCTGACGTGATCTGAAACGAGAGCTATTCTCAGCCGATAGTAATACAGACAGACATGCACGAGGACTATTGGATCGTCGGCGCGTACGTACTAGGTAATTAATCTCTGACGCGCAGCTACTAGCTTACCCGGATGGCTCTGGACTTGGTGGCGGTGTTGACAATCTGAAGGGAGGAATGCAGATCCGCGCCCGCCGTGACTGCACGCGGAAGCGGGATGGATGGGGGGGAGTGCGGAAGGACGGGGAAGAGGGGAGAGGAGGCGACGGAAAAAGCGGGGAGGAGAGCAGGGGGTGGGGAGAGAGGGGAGGGTGAAGGAAGGAAGGTGTTGTCGTTACATGGGGGGCAAGGCCGGAAGGGGATATGGGGATGGTATACATGAGGGGGAGCTGTGAGAGGTAGAAGATGCAGGGGAGGAGGAGGAAAGGAAGATGAGTCGGTGATAAGAGAGGAGGAAAGCCATGCGGCGGAGATAATTCAATAAGTTATTCGCGGAAACGTTCAGGACGGGCGATAATGTTGATGGACAACAAACGACGGGGAAACGAAGGGCGCAGCGTGACACAACATTAGCTGCTTGACTACCGATATCAGCAGTAGATTTTTCTGCTTACATGGGAATTCCACGCTTGTTTGGTTTAGCTTGACACCATCCATGGCTGACGGCGTAACTCCCCGGTGCGCTGCCGGCGTTCTCGTATCGCCACTGGAACCCGTCTGCGCCTATAATATTTATTTCGGAGAGTTTTCCAATCGCGTGTGAAGCGCGTGCGATGGCGCGAGCTCGTGGCGAAGACTAGCACTCACGAACCTTGCTTCTTTCGTCGTACCGCGCAGCTGTGAAAACTGAATCGTGGCCCTTGTGATGAGCTTACTGGTATTTTCGCACGCTTATAAATACAGTTCAGATTTCACTCGCCGCAGCCTCGCATGTCGATGGTAGCGTGCGATTTGTGGAGTCCTGCTACAAGTCGTACCAGAAGTAGTAAAGCACGAAAGATTGTAGCTACTAGATGGAAGCATGGATGGGTATGGTATGTTTTGGTCCGACTTTTATGATTGCTGGAAGGAATGCTTGGTGTGTGTTGTTTCATCACCTCACATCTCCCCAAACCACCACCAAGGCTAGCGACCAAACCAGGTTCATCTACCCAAACCGCGCTGTTCCAATTGCAACTATGGTGAGGTGTATCTGGATCCTCCAGTGCGCTTGGCAAATTATCTTTCTTTACCCCACCTTAAATCCTCCATACCGAGCTGTTTTCATAATTTGGGTCGTTGGCACGGTCTGGTCTGGTCCGCTCATTCATGTTGTTGCTTCCGCGATGTTGGAAGGACACCGCGATTCCAGTGTAGGAAACGCGGAAGGCGGAGACAGCTGGGGCGGGTGATTCGGATCCTAAGACCTAAACTGTAACTTCCAAATGTCAGATCCGCATCACTTACAAGAACTTTTACGGAATCATAAACAGCAAAGGATGAATAAATTGCAACCAAACTGTCAACAATTGAACGCGCCTTGAAAATGCTTGAGACCTCTATCCAGTTGACCTGGAAGTCTACTCTTGACTTGTAAAACTGACCGTGGGAAACTCGGACCAAGCGGGAAACGCGCTTCTTCGCAGGCCATGATTGGGGCATGGATTTTGCAATTCTACGGCCAGGTTGGTGTGGTTGCGGAGACCGACACGGCTGTGCGGTGTTCCTTCCGCCTCTCGAATGTCGAACCAGCCTTCGAACCAAAACACTCATATTTGCCTCACAAGCATGGCGTCAAGAGGTTCGGAATCTGGTTCAGTCACGCGTGTTCAGCAAGCAAGGCAAAGCTATTTACTATGGAGGGGAGGGCGGAACCAAGCCAAGTTGATCTGGCGTTCCCTACGCTCGTTGGAACTTGGTTTGGTTGGATGGAAGTCACCACCATGCGAGGTTTCCCTCGCTCGGTTGGAACTTGGAAGTCACCACCACGCGAGGTTTCCCTCGGAGGTGTGCTGTACACGTCCAGCCTACCAAACTTCGGTTCGGGAGAGAATTGCTCCAGGGTCTTGTTTGGTGATTCGATCTTGCCCACGTGTTCCCGAATTGCTCGCGTGGCCATCGAATTCAGTGATAATTGCTCGAGTGGCCACGCCAGGGGATTTTCGAGGTGTTTTTTTTCCCCGGCACACTACCCTACAAGGAATTTAGCCCCGAAAGTCCTCTCACGTACTCGTCTCATCCCGCGCAAGCATTGCGTACTATTCTCCACTTGAAAAGTTCGCAATTTCTAATACGCCCCGCGCATAAAACGGACCAATCATATCTAGACATTACGTGATTAGTCCGTTATATGCGCGGGGCATATTTAGACACTGCGCGTCCAATCATATTCGTCATATAAAGTTCCGATCATAATTTTCGGATAAATGAAACCGCGCGATTACCTATATGATCGCGGATTTATATGCTCGAGCGCTTATTGGTTACGAATTCGTTTGACCGAGCGCTCATTGGTCGCGCATTGGGCCGAAATTGAGCGCGCATGTACTGCTGGTCGTGATTATTTGTCGGTTTTATGTACAGTGAGTGGGCCACGTTCGCGCCTGCCCACCCTGGCGAAATTTTCGAGTGGGGAATAGTACGCAACGCTTGCGCGGGATGAGACGAGTACGTGAGAGGACTTTCGGGGCTAAATTCATTGTAGGGTAATGTACCGGGAAAAAAACACCTCGAAAATCCCCTGGCGTGGCCACTCGAACAATTATCACTGAACTTGATGGCCACGCGAGCAATTCGGGGACACGTGAACAAGAGCGAACCACCAAACAAGGCCCTGGAGCAATTCTCTCTCGGTTCGGGCAGCGTCCTAACGTAAAGTACACCTCTTGCCAATCACGCCCTGCCCTTGTGCTTCGCTGGCTTGAGTTCCAGGTTTGGTTTGAGTGCACTTCACGTTAACAAATCTGAACATAGCAGGTTTTTTGTAAGGGAACCTTTTCCTTACTTAGCGCCCCTTCTTACCGTGTATGAGTGTACATGGCTGTTCCAGCCAACAGCACCCTACAGCAAAACGTTACCATAAGCGACACTCGCCTCGACCACCATTCCTACCACTGTTCACATCGCGACCCAACCTCACGGTTCGGTTGGTAACCCGCGCAACGGCCCTCCGCCTCGACAATTCCCAACCTCGGCGCCAGGCCCGTCGCGCACCACATTTTCGCACGTTACCGTTACCAAGATAGCTTTCGCTATATAATGCTTCACCCATTCATTCGCTCATTTCACTCTTGATTCGATAACTCAATCTTCGTTCGCTCATTCAATTGCGCTAACACTTGGTATTCAGAGCTACGATCATTTCTCGGACCGCGCCCACACATTCGCTTCCCACATTATCTCAATTTCTGGAGGGGGTAGACGTCCCTCATCAATCAAGCACCACTGCTCGTGTGCTCTCTCGAAAGCACACTCAGCCACGACCGAGGCTCTCGCTGAGCTCGCCCGACACCCTCGCCATGGCTGAAATCCAGGTCGCGACGATGATGCAAGAGCGCCTCGACGAGCTTCTACGCCAACTCGAGGAGTCGACGCTCGAAATTGCGACGCTCACGGCGGAACGCGAATCAGCACAACAGCAATCTACGGCAAATGCACCAGCACCAGCACCTGCACAATCGAACGAGCCGATTGTCATCTCATCAGGAACACCATCACAGCACGACAGCGTGGGACGGCGGTCAGGCGCAATCACTGATGGCGCCGCTAAATTGATGTCAAGCATGGAGAGAACCAGGACCGCACCGGGCGTAAACGTACCTCGTGAAGTTCGTTGTCACGTCAGCATCGTCGCACCTGTTGAAAACAACGACATTGGTGAGCCGATGCCACTCAAGCCGCAGCACTCGCCCTGCTTCGATCCTAGCCAGCGTGGAGGTCCAACAGTTCAATCGTGGATTTTCACGATGAACGTGCTTTTTTACGCGAACTACGCCACGTTGGATGAAGCGAAGATTCGGTATGCCGTGTCATTGCTGCGGGGCCCCGCCATGGACTAGTGGCGAGTCATCGTGACGTCGCCGAGCGCCTATGAGCCATTGTCGCAAGAGGAAAGGCCCACGGGCCCAGCCGTAACCTGGAGTTCGTTCTGCGAAACGGCCCAATACAGCACGTGGGACGCGCGGTGCGCAGGGTTACGGGCGGGCGCGCTTCAGGCCTATCGCGGCTTCAATTTCGGCACGCCAGAAGTTGCTCACTTGGCAACAATCTGGGTCGGTCCAAGATTACACCAGCAGTTTTCTTGCGCTGTGCGAGCAGGTCGGCTACATGCAGGAGCGGAGCGTGTGGATCGCTACGTCGGCAGCTTGAAGCCGGAAATTTTGCAGGAGATTCTTTTCCGCGCAATTTTTATTTTCAATTAAATCCTGGCGCTCGCCGAGAAGATCAACATCCTACGCCGTCCGAGACCGGGGTCCTACCACTACGGACATCATACTCGGGGGCCGACTGAGCACGCCACTGTACACGCCATTGCGACGAACGCAGCTGCCGCGCCATTTAAGGGACACCGCTTCTTGTGCAACAGGTCGGGCCATCGCTCAACAGGCCGGGCCATCGCTCAACAGGCCGGGCCATCGCAAGAGCGAATGCCCAGAAGAGCTAAGGTGCCGTGTAGCAGAGCAAAGGAGGGAGTATGGAAGGCAGGGAAATGCCAGCAGTCAGTAGAGTACGGCTCACTACTGACGAGACTCACTGCTCGCCCGACCCCACTGACCCTCACCGAGTAGTGGTACCAATTCACGCAATAGTGAATAAGGAGTACAGTGACAAGATGCCCATAATTGATTCACGGGAAAATACAGTGAAGAATTTTATTGACGGAGGAGCTAGCCACAGTTTAGTTAACACCGCAACTGCAAGGAAGCTGCAACTGACACTTAACCGCTGCTTACCGGAAATCAACGCACGCTAGTTGACGACACGTCGCTGGCTATACGGGAGAAAGTGGAAAGAGTGAAAGTTCGCTGCGGGGGAAACTTCGGGTTTACACAGGAAATGCTCGCAACTACGCTAAATGGGCACGACATTTTAATGGGACGTGATTGGCTGCGACGCTATAACCCGCGAATCGACTGGACAACATGCAGTTGCACGATGCGAAGTAGCGATAACTGGTTCGCGCTACCTCGCGGGCAGTCACATGAGTCTTCAACGGTCCACGTTAACGCCATCACGATGAAACGGGCAGTCGCCGCTTTACGTAATTGTTGAGAGAACTAGGAAGGTATGGATGAGATTAGGTCAAGGTGGGGTACAAGAAGAATGTCGAGGAAAATACTGTACCCCCTAGTGCTAACCCACTACAGCCTACAAATGTACAACCCCTATATAATTTGACACACCCCCATAGGCAAAGTGGGGGAGAACAAGGGGTCACAAGACCAGTCAAGCAAAGCAAAGCAAGCTCAGGGTGGATCACAACGTCACCACACACTCCGAGCACAGGTTCAAGGCCACAAGGCCAGTTCACCTGCAGGATCATATATATAAAGGTAAACAAGCAAGTGCAGGTATATATAGATCACAGTACAAGCAAGGTCACGAAGTGAGCAAGTGAGGCCAAGTAGGCACAAGACCTAGCATCGTACAAAAGCGCTGATGATCACAAGGCTGAAGTG